ACCACCACCGCCATCGGCTCCCCCAGCGACCTGTGGGCAGCTCCTTGTCGCCATTCCCATTTCACAGATGAGAAAACTGAGGTTCTGAGAGGGGATTACTGGACGCCGGGAATGCACAGCTGCAGTGGGCTTCGCGGTCTCTTTCCGTCACAGACGGTTATTGCTAAGGGGAAGGCCGCTTGGAGTTTGGGGCTGTTGGGGCAGGGGGGTGGCCACCAAATGCAGTGGCTAATGGGACTTGAGGCTAACCTGCTTCCCAGTGGACCTCTGCCGTCTCTCCACAGAGACCTTTGTGAGCCCAGGAGGAGCTGAGGGAGAAAAAGCCCTCTTCCGCTGCCCTGAACTGGTTGTGGGGGATGTCAGGGATGAGCTGGAAAATCTTGGAAAACTGAAAGGGTCCACACAGACAAGTTCAGAGTGTGTGGACACTATTAAAACGAATGACCCCTCAGAGTCCACTCAGCCACAGCCTGGGCTAAGTACTTTGCACCATGTTACTGGATCCTGGCACTGTAAGACCCTGGGACAGCTCCTTTATCTCCATGTGCCTCAGTTTGTTCCATCTGTACAATGGGGAAATAGGCACGTCCGTCGTGGGGTGTTTAAGATCAGTGAGACAGCTCCAGTTAAGACAGGGCCCCTGGCCCCTGGTCCGTGAATGTCAACTATTATTACAAGTATCATTATAGATAAGGAAGCCAAGGCAGGAAGATGAAGGAGCTGACTCAGTCACACAGTGAGGGAGTGGGGACAAGGCCACTCAGCCCAGGTCACTCTGAGCCAATACTGGTCTCTTCACCATCGTTCTAAAGCTGGGGTCTGAGCCCGACTGATGTGTTAGTCCAGCATCTCTAGAGCAAGAACAGTATATATTAGCTATGTTCTGTGTCTGTCAGGGGAGGTCTTTGTGGGGAAAAGGTGGGTCCTGCTTGGGAGCGGGTCCCTGCAGAAGGAGAACAGGGTCCCCATCTCTTTCCCTCTAAGGGCAGAGGAGGGGTGGGGAAGGCATGGAGAGAGAGGTGGTGGTGCCCCCTGGTGCTGAGCCACAGGGCCTGTCCCAGAGGGACCATCGCCCCCGCCGCTCAGACCAGTGGGTGCAAGCCTTTGCGATCTCTCCAAATCCCAGGCATTTCAAGGGGTCCCTGGTCCCCATAGGGTTTTTCTAGCTGGGAGACCATTCCATAGAGCAGGCTCTTGCAGTGACTGGGCCGACCATCAAGGTAGCCAGACTGGAGGGAGCGGCCCCACACTTCAGCCAGGCTGCTGAAAGAACCTGAGGTGTCGGTGGTGAGCTGGCTGCAAGGTCTCTGGGTCTGAAGCCAAGGACAAGAAGCAAGGACAAGAACTCATGTCAAACTGGATCCTACATCCCAGGCAAACTTTCCTAGGAGACTTCCAGACCAGAGCTTGGAAATCACTTTGCATGTGTAAGCCACTAAGCCTCATGCCCCATCCCTGTGAGGTCCCAGGCTCCATTTTTCAGATTAGTAAGCTCAGTTTCAAAGACGACCACAGACCTGTCCAGGGTTCTGTGGGCCACTGAGTGTCTGACATGGGACCTTGGCTTCGTGCCAGAAGAGTGTTGGTTCTGAAAGCCAACCAGAACCTGACCCTGGGTAACAGTGTGGGTCCTCGGGCAGTGTAACATCTCTGCAGTTCACTTTGCACGTGAAGGTGACATATGTAAAATGGCATGTCCACCTGACTGTCCAGCATGTGGACAGCGAGCCAGAGGTGGCAGGACTGCTCAGCGTCTGCCGTGACCTCCCTTCACACTTTGTGCTTGCAATTTACTCTGCCAGTTGATGGAAAGTAGAAAGAGCCCCTTACACATGTTGGCCACACTTGAAGGAGCCAATTCCTGCTTTGATCATTGTATCTTTTCTAAATATCAGTCTCTCCCCAAAGGACTGAGCGGACATTCAACCCAGCAGTAGACCTAAGTGCCCACCCTTGGCTTTGCTTTCTCCGGTGCTATGCTGGAGATTTGGGGTTGGAAAGTGCTTTTCATGTGCTTCTGTGATACATGACATTGTTCTGCTTTCAACTCTGTGCTCTCTCAGCCCTTTTCAGTTTCCCAAATAATCTACCAGACCGTCTTAGTAAGACCTGTGCTGCATGGCACAGGAATGGGAAAATATACCCACTCTCCAAGGGAGAAACAGTCAGTGACCCAGAGGAGACTCGTTATTTCAGTTTGCTCTGGACCGCAGTAGCAACAGTCTTCACCCTGCCCACTCCCTCACAAGCTTAAGATGATTTGAAAATCCTCCACTGACTTATTCGCCCATCCCCTGGTTCTACCAGGTCTGACTGTGTTCTGAATTAGAAGAATAATGCAAGCCAATTATTATTTTTTTAATTACCTCTTTTAAAAATCCCTGTCTAGAGTTTCTGGATGAGGATTTCAGACTATTCTAAAGTTGATATGGGTCCTTGTGGACACTAAACGACATGGAAGCCTCCTCAACTAATCTGGATTCTATCAGTTACCACCAAAAGAATCTTAGAAATCCAAATTCCCTCGAAATAACTGCATTCTGCTATGACATGGCGGGCTGGGGAGGAGTAGAGGTCTTCTCTCTTCTTTCTTTACACAGTTGTCTGCTAAAACCTGGGTCTGAGATGAGAGTATGGCATGGTTCAGGAATCAGCTTGATTTCATGTACAGCAAATATATCCCTAAACTAAAGCACCAAGGAAAAGTAAACACCCCCTTCTAAGAAGTTGGGTAGATTTCTGGGTTGCTTTTTCAGTCTGGATTTATACGAGTAATTTTTGAGATCTCCTCCATACTGCTCACCAGCATTTCACCACCAAAAGCAGTCAGTTGCACACTCGAATTATCACAGAGAGGGAGTGAACAAAGAGTGGGTTTTGGATAAAAAGGGTTTTAGGTCTGACTGATGGGGTTGGGGGAGGGTATGAAAGAAGAGATCATGGTTATGGAGGATGCGTCATTCCAAGCAGAAGGAAAAGCCGTGAGCTAGTGATGGTGGAACCCTGCAGCATGTGTCCCCTGCACAGCTGGGGAAGCAGTGTGAGGTGCACTGGGAAGGAGTGTGAAGCTGTAAGCCTAACAGTAGATCTAGATAGAAATAGCTTCTCCAAACCAACCTCCCTGGCGACCCTGATAAATTGGGATCATTCCATGACTTCAGCAGTGACCGTGAGCTTTGTGCTAGGGAATCTGCAGGCTGGCTGGATGCAGAGAGAAATGGCCCCAGATTCTAGAAGGCTCCGGAAGGAAAGGATTGGAATGAGGGCGGGATAAAGAACTAGATGTGTTGTCTATATCACTGACCACAATGGAGGCCATGCCCACTTCCTCTTCCTAGTCATGCTGGAAACATTCACATGAAGGTAGCCCTTGAACTGAACTTGGAAGGACACTGGGAGGGTCCTGAAAGAAGAGGGTGAGGGGTTTGTTCCAGGTGAGGGAGCAATGTGTGTCAAAGCACAGAGGCTAAAGGACACAGGACTTTCAAGTTTCATAGATGGCTTCTAAGGGGCCTAGAAGACCAGTTGTGTCTGGGAAGTGAGATGTGGACCCAGGAGTTTGTACTTCAAATCAACAATGGTGTGTACCACTGAAGGAGGGGAGACGTCATGAAGGTCCCCTAGGAATCACAGAGCAAGGGACCACTAGGGGAAGAGTAGGTTTGGAGGAAGGGGCTATATGGATCCTAATATGTCCAAAACCGTTGACAGGAGATCCATGAGAAATGTTGAATTTTAGGATCTGTAACTCACAGTGAGAGGAGAGCCAGAGAAAGACAACTGATTCAGCCTCAAGCCTACGTGGGACGCCTTGGGAATAAATGCCACCACCCAGTCAGTTCTCTGAGATGAGGGGAGGGCTGAGTACTGAGCTCTTGGAAACCCAGTCCTACACAGTGTGTGCACATGGTAAGTCATCGATCAATATTTCAGGGGGGCATCAGCGAATTAGTAAAGAGAAAGAAAGGAAGGTTTGTGAGTTTGCTTGGGCCACCTTAGCAAGATGCCACAGACTGGGTGGCTTAAGCAGCAGACATTTATTCTCACAGTTCTGAAGGCTGGAAATCTGAGATCAAGGTGTGGACACAGTTGGTTTCTTCTGAGGCCTCCCTCCCTGGCTTGTAGATGGCTGTCTTCTCCCTGTGTCTTCCCATGGTCTCCCCTGTGTGTGTGTCTGGGTCCTGACCTCCTCTTCTTACACGGACACCAGTTATATTGATTAGGATCCACTCGAATGACCTCATTTTAACTTAATTACCTCCTTAAAGACCCCCCTCAAATACAGTCACTCTCCGAGGTCCTGGGGTTTAGGACTTTGACATACAAATTTTGGGGAGACACAATTTGGCCCATAACAGTAAGGAAGGAGAGAGGGAAAAGGGAGACAGGGAAGGCAGGTTATTCTTTGAGAGAGCAGCCAAACAGGGAGCTGGTGAGGGAAGCTGGCAAACAGAAATGGGGGTGGGAACCCAGCAGACTATGCTGTGCGCCCCCCCTCCCCCGAGGTCCAGTCTCTGAGGTCGACTATCAGAGAGAGGCAACTAATGCCATAACAAAAGGCAACAAGAGAACCAAGAAAAACCCCTAATCTTCTCATGCTAACTTGAAACTAAAACACAGTAGTTTGGGAAGAGATGCCTCTGAGGCACATCCGGTGTTTCTAAACAACAGGCTTTAAGGGGCCAGGAGGATCTGGAGCTGGGAGCAGCTCACATGCCAGAACCCTGCCGAGAGGTCTCCACCCAGCCCCCCAGCCCTCTCTCACACCCCCCAGTGTTCACACCCATCCTGCTGTCCCTGCTCCGTTGGCACTATGCACGCGGGTGCTTCGGGCTGACCAATGAAGGAAGTCTCACTGGAGCTTGGTAGAGCCCACCCTAAGAGAGACAGCCAGTGACCCCCGTCACTGGGCAGCATGAACCCCAGGAGGGCTTTGGGAACGTGTGGGGCATTTTTGATTGTTACAACGATCTTGGGGTGTGACCACAACTGGCATCAGGAGGCTGGGCTGTGA